TTTTCGATTCCAGTTCTGCTCTTCGTCAGTACTTCTAATACAGTCAATCACCTACACAAGTCCCCAAGACCAGCTCTTCTAGATTTCTGCTGATCTAGATATTTGAGCTCCATGGCCAGGGGGCATCGAGAGGTGTTCCTTCAGGAATGTGTGAACAGATAGCAAAGAATGAGGAGGAGAGGGGCTTAGGAGAACAGGGCACATGGGTGGGACAATGCCAGAGCAGCCACTGCATGCAAATCCACAGCCACCCAGGTGTATCCACTGCCGAGGGCAGAAGTGTAACTTCTCCCATCCGTGTGACAACTGATGTCTTTGCTCTCCAACTGGAAAGTTCCTGGAGGAGAAAGGGAAAAGAGAGAGAGAATAAAAAGGAAAGTTGGGCAGTTAAGGGATTTGAATGGGGAGACGGAGGAGAGGTTACATCTCCATTCTCTACTTTCTACTGGCCCAGCTGAACCCTCTCCTGAGAGCTCAGTTTACAACTCGCTTGCTCATCTAGGGGAGGCTGTATCTATTGCAGGGTTAGGACAGAGGGGCCTGAGGCATCTGTCTCTTTGGAGCATTTGAGGTCTTCTGTATAGGAAGACAAATGCATGTCTTCTGTTTTTCCCCAGTGACATTTCCCTTGCTTAGACAACCCTCTTCCCATATTTTGTAGAAAGAAGGCAGAGCATGATGCTTGATTGCCTGATGAAAAACAATAACATCAGGGCCAGTTCTCTTTCTTTCTTTCTCTCTCTCTCTTTTTTTTTTTAAAGTTTAAGTCAGGGCAATGGCTTTTATCTGCTCATATTTCTTCCTGAAACCAAGTCCTCTGGCTTTTCAAGCCATTCCCTTTCCTAGCGAGTTGAGATTGGAACAAAGTAATTATAATTCTAGAGCTTGTCAGCTAGAATCCAACCATCACAAACCAATCATACAAGGCTGCTCCTTTCGGCCCAATAGTTGAGGTTATTTTTCCATGATGTAATGAACCGTTCAGATCCTTGGGAAAGAAAGCTCACCAGTAAGTACATCTCTCCGTGTGGAGACCTTTTCTAACCAGAAAGTTATTGAGACCATCTGTAGGGAGTGAAACATGTCCTATAGGAAGAAGGTTTGTTAGACCAGAAGCATTAGTTATGGAGGCTGCCATTGTTGTAGTTCCTTGCGAGGAAGAGAATCAAAGCGTAATCACACTAGGTCATGTGTAAATTTATGCTGTTTTTACTGGCTCTTAACCCTTTTCCTTCCAGGAATTGTTAAGTTCCTTTGCAGTCATATATCAAGTCCTTGGGTTGTTCTCACCAAGGGTGACTGTTTGACGGTAAGGTCCCTCCGTCGACCGACAGAATAGGGGTCGGGTCATGTAACGGACTCCCTGGAAATTACGTAAGAGAAATAAATACCCTGGTGTTTGCACAGAGAGGAAATTATGACATTCACTTTGAACATGAACTCATAGACTCTCTCAAGCTCTCCGGTGAGAAAAAAGTTTTCTTGGTCTGAGGGAGTCTTGAGTGGAGGTAGGGGTGAAACCTTGTGTAGGAAGATCTCCTGTTCCTATGTAGCTTAAAATGGGCTGCAGGTCAGGCTCTGTCTTCCAATGGAGACTCCGAAGAGGGTTCAGGAGACGGGAGAAAGAGCAGAACATCCGTCAATGCCTAGGGCTCTATTTTCCTTTCCTTTCTGTTTTTGGTTTTATGTCGTGGCCTGTAAGTCAATTCACAGAGAATTGCTTGTCTTTATGGAGACACAATTCAAATATGATTTTAAAAAAATTTTTTTTTTTTTTTCGTTTTCCAACCGGGCTGTCTCACCTGCAGGGTATAGGTTGCTTCTATGTTATCAAATGTGCTTGGTGCTTTTCCGGCATGTTGTTTTGATAGGCTATGCTTTTTAATAGAGCCTGTGGAGCTGGACTCATTCAGCTCCCGAGCTGTTTCTGGAGCTGAACCAAATGCCAATTACGGTACTAATAGAATTCTGAGCACCCTGCCTGGATCATGGGCTGCACTTGGGTCCTAATCCCTTTTTGGTAGGATCTGAAATAACTGTGTGGGCCATGGACAGGAAACTTGAAGCAAGGCAAGCAATGCCTGAGGAAAGAAGATAGAACATAGAGAGGAATAGCCTAAGCCTGTGCTTAACTCACTTAGGGAAGAGCACAGACTCACTGGGATCCCAGGAGTAAGGCAGCGTGCACACATTTCCATTATACCGCCTGGACTTCGAAACTATAGGGACGGCATTGTGACGGCATTGCGACTAAAGCCTTCTGCTCTAAATCATGCTCTGATCAGTAGATGTTCTGATAACTTTGGCAAGGAAATACCAATAACATTTTCATTGCCTTCCACTCTGAGGAAACTGCTTACGTGATGTGTATTTTGCTAGTGTTTTACTGAAACATTGAAGCCACGTAGCCTCAGAGCTTAATGGATTATTCGACTTTTGGAAAATACTGAGTTGCCATTATCTACTTTGAGTTTTGTGTATTCTAACGCATAAGAGATGTGTGTGCAACGGGTGAGTAGATGATTTTTTTTTTAATTGCAAACTAAAATGTAACCGAACTCGAAGCATCATAAAATCAGAATCAGGAAAGCAAGTTAGTGAGAAAGGGAACTTCGATGCTGAGGACAGTTTTTCTGTCTCAAGGAAGTAACTACAAATCACAATGTAGCCCTTTTCATCCTCTTAAGAGATTTTTAGATGTGTCACCATTGAGTCAGCAGCTATAACTCTGTGCGTGTGCGTGTATCTACTTTGATTTGCTTTCTGCCAACTAATTTACTAAGTACAGTCGTTCCTTCACTTAATCCTGTATTAAGAAAGCACTCAATTTTTAGGTAAAATAACAGACATTCAGAGCAATAGCTCTGGGGTTTAACCTTTGTCCAAATGAGAAATATATCATTACTTCTCATGAATTTGTTTTGGAAAGCATTATTGCATGTGTTCACATGTATGAGAGGCTTAATCTCAGTAAACAGGAAAGCTAGCTCTCCCCATGGATTCCCCCCACCTTCCCCCACCCCCAAGTTGATTTAACAGGTACAGTGAGTGTCTTCATGTATTTCAGTTTGCGTGCAGGGAGAAGACACTCAGGTTACCAAAAAGCATTATTTATAGTGTCAGCTCCTGTCTTGCTACCACTTGGTGACTTAGTTATGGAAACCATATAAAAGAATAGATTTCGGTATAAATGTAAGTTTTGAAATGAGATTTTCTTTGCTGATAAGGAGATCAGAAGCTGAAACGCAAGTGACAATTTGTCTGTTATAAATTCAGAGTTTCTCTATTGTTAGCCATAGAAATAATTTTCTAAAACACTTGTTTACTAATTCACTTGAATTTCTTTAACATTTGAAATGGGCTGATGGAGCTCAAATCCAAATTCAGGAGAAGAGATATCTGGGTTTGATCCTAATTAGTACACTGAAATATCTAATTAGGCACTTATGAAATGAGTAATGACATAACGTGTTTACTTTTAATAATCATATAATGCTATTAATGTTATTTGTTTTGTTGTCATTAGTTGTTAATAGTATTGGTGACTAGGTACAGCATTTTATTTGCATAGTTGTAATACACATTTTATTTCTTTGTAACTGATACACAGGGGCTTTGAATATTAAAACATACATTTATCAAAAGCCTGGAATTAAATATCCATTGAGGATGTATGCCTGCAGAACACAAACAGGACAGGGAAGCAGGGGAAGATTCAATCAACTCCTGAGGTCCCGATCAAATTTATTTTTAAAATGGAAAAAACCCTCCTCCAGAGAAGCACAAACATTGAGCCAAACATTTGGAGCTAAGTTCTGTGTAAAGAGTAAAAAGCCAAGCTTTGTCTATGGGAGTCAGGGTAGAAATAATTGGGGGGGGGGGAATTACGAAGTGCCGTGAAAAATATAGGTCCTATTGTATGATCTCTAGATTTGGCTGAGCAGCGATGCTATGAAACATTAGATCCTGCAGAAAGCACAGGAAGAACCCCTGGATTGGACATCGGCAGGCTTAGAATTCATGTCTACAGCTTCCACTCACCTGAGAAGCTGTCTTGGAACATAATTTCTATGTCTCTATTTCCTTATAAATGAAGAAGGAGAAGGAGAAGAAAAAAAATAAACAGAAGAAAAAAATCACCTGTGAGGGCTGCAGCCAGAGGCAACAAATGAAGAATTGAAGTCAGATTATTGTCCCAACAATTGTGCTCACACCTCTTATCCTTCGACTCTCTCATCTAGAGATCCCTCCCTGTCTAAACTGTCAAGTGTCAACCACTCACACTTGTCTTAGGGGTCAAAAATCTGGCCCAAATTTAACATGCGATTCTAATATCCCTTCTTTGAGGAATGTATTCCAATGCTGATCATTGACTGGAAAAAACATTTCACTTCCCTCCCTTTGTCTAACACCAGCCTGTACTTCCAGATACAGCTATCATATGTCCCTAAAATCCTCAGATACTTACCTCTTTATTTTCTGAGGGTAACTGTCTCACCCATGTGAGATGAATGAAGACTTCCAACACATGAAAAAGTAATTCACTAAGTAATAACTTGGCTGTTCTGGAAGTGTGATCTCCTTAAAGAACAGTCCACTTATTGTTGTTGGTTTTAACACATTTGATGGGAAATGAATATAATAAAGGGCACAGAAAGCACTCAGTTATTTCTCAATAAATGACGGTGATGTTGCATATATTCATATAAACATGCATATTGGCAAACACACAGGGACCTTACTTCCCCAGAGGTCTTCCTCAACTATTCACAACATAGCAAATAGAAGGACTAAAGCATTTAAATAGTCTGAGAAGCCTAAATAGATGTCATAAATCCATATCCTGAAGCTTTTTACCCAAAAGAGAACTGAACAAAACGCGGTAACTCCAAATTTAACATCTGCTTTACTCGATTTCAAAAATCTACATCCAACGTTAAGCCCCTTAGATCCTATTAGCTTTTACCATATATATATATATATATATTTTTTTTTTTTTTAACAACTTTGGTTACATAATTTCTCAGCCCAGTGCAGATTAGAATCAACAAATTAGCGCATGGTGGCAGCCTGATAAATGTTAAGGCATGTTGGCAGAAGCAAAAACGAGAAGTGAAGGCTGCCACTGACTAAGGAAGAAAAACAAGCTGGAGGCTTAAATAAGCTTAGTTTAGGCTCATTGAATGTACGAGACTCTGCTCCGCCTGTACCCTGACAGGCTTGCTCTATTGCACGTAAAAATGAAACAGCTTATGTTTATTAACATGATACTGAACCATTATTCTAAAGACAGTTTTATACTAAAACGATTGTTACTTTCATTTATTTCGTCATTCAACTGACATTTATCAAGACTAACTTTTTTTTTTCTCAGCCATGTACAAGACACTCAGGATATAAAGATAAAAAAAAAAGACATGGCAGTGGCTTTTGAAAAGCTCACTATTGGAAGGTGGAAACAGAGAGAGAAAAAGTATTTGTAATAGCACGAGAGGAACCAACTACGGTCTATACTAGAAATACATGGAGTGCAATTGGAGGATGCATGTAATACATCAAATAATTCCCACCCAAAGACATTTCAATTCTTTAGAAAAGCCGTTCTGTGAGATGAACAGTTCCAGGCATGCCAGATAAATAAGGCATAACCACGGTGTGTTACAGTCATGATGAATGGGAAATAAGGCTTATGGAATAAATCCCATTGCTTCAGAGGAAACCATATCCGTGTAGACCGCGGAACGTAACAAAAACATGCCCTTCTTAGAAGCAGCTTATAATGTATACGCACGATTACAAGCATAGAGATAGACAGGTTTGGGGGCCTAACAGGCATTTGAGGACACAAACACGATTGTCTTCTAGTATGCTCTCAGCATCCTTAACACAACTGCACATGGTATGCTAGCATGTCATACATATTAAGTCTTTCATTCTAAGACTTCCCCATAAATTCATTCCATTTCATTGCACTCCTCAGAAACTCTCCAGATTTTGGGGGGGGTTTTCTTGCATGATCTATTTTAGCACTTAATCATAGGCTGGCTATCTTATCCTGTCAGTTGGTCATTTGATCTCACTTGGGTGTTGCTGGTCTTCTCCATTAGAGGCTGTATATTACTACAAGAATATAGGGCTTTTATGTCTTCCATGCTATAACCTAGCATATAAGCTAAAGCACAAAATAGCTGTGCAGCAAACACATTTACTGAATTTAATATGAAGATTAAATCTTACCAATGTGGTAAGTGAAATTGCCAAAGCTGTTTTCTAACAGATAAGAATATATGCAGTGCCTTGAAATACCATCATAGATGGCGTGTCCTCGTAGCAGCAGATTGCAAACTCATCCTGTCTACATTTCAAGTCCATCTGGCATTTATTTATTAATTATTTATTACTGTTAATTATTACTGTGAAGATTAATGGTTCTTAATACCTAGTATTAATAAATGCAAATGCCAACAGGTTTTCATCTCTTATCTTTGTGAAACTGGACTGCATCTATGGTTAATGGAAGTCTGAAAATAGATCTACTTGCTGAAGATCTTTATATAAGTGCAAAAGAAAAATTGGTGTCCCTAGTTGAACAATCACCTTCTGTATCACACATCCATTCATAATCTGACTGCAGATCTAGACGTGACTAATATTTGGCTCTCATGTTATAGGTGGTTACGCTGGAAGGAATCAGTAAGAGCATACTTGTCATTTCCTTGGAAAAATTTAATCGACAGATGGATCCCAACACCCAACAGCACTGATGTCCAAAACTAATGGGGATTTTTGCTAAATAAGGACTGATTCAGCCAAAAAAGATATACTCTGACTACAGAAATCTGTATCACACATCGTCCAAAATGTATATTTACCCAAGCACTGAATGCATTGAAACACTAGAATTTTCCTAATAGGGACATTGGGAAAAGTCACTTATTAAAATACACATTTATGATTTTTCCTTTATAACATGAAGCAATGGAGTTTGTTGATGTTGTCATGCATTTACCAAGTTTCAGTTTCTTAGAAAAATGTAATCTTTCATGTTTCATTATTTAGCTAAATAAGGTAAAAATTCTAAATCAGATTGGGAAGCTGCATATTAAAATAATCAACTGTTCTCTAGCTTTCTACTTCAAGAAATAAGCCTTGCTGCATATCAGTCTGGGTGTGGGGGAGAGGTGAGAGTGATGTTGATAAGAAAGACTAGGATACATGTATTTATTTGCCCCCTCCCATAACTAAATTTATACAACCAACCATAACCTTATAACTTGATGTTCGCTTCTTTTAAGATTTTCCCATCGTTTGAAACTGTCTTGGCCTGTGGTGTAGAAGGTGTATTTAGAGTAGACGATTAAAGCAAAGCCATTTCAATGCAAGTTCCAGACAAATGGCATGTCTTTCTGGGTGGCTGATGTTCTAAAAAAAAGCTCACTGCCCGGAAACAAAAGAGTTCTCTGAATTAACATGGTTTGGAAAATTCTTAGCCATCTACAGATGCACAGATTGAATCATAAAAGAGAACAGTATATATCAATAAATGATTAATTTCCTCTTTCCATTTAGGCTTAATATGGAAGGAGTTTTAAGGAATTAATTAGACCTCTCCCACCTGTTTCTTAGAAGAAATCCCTGGGGAAATATATTTCAGAAGAAGGTTTTTGCAGTTAAGTGAGCTGTTACTTTATCCTCTGTCCTTTGGTAGAGTTAGCTTGTCTGTCTCCAGGTTGTTTAAGCTTTGGGCTACAGCCCGAGTGTCTATACATCCATCTATTTTGCAGAGTTAATTCAAGCTGTTTATAAATAATACAAGACATAATAAATAAATGTTCAGGTAGACCTCCCTTGTGTGAGAGGCGATATTCCCACGTACAGGGCTTTCCAAGGCAAGATAGTGGGTACTGGGGCTTGGAGTACTGCGTAATCTCACCAAATGGAATGGGAACAGCAATGCGTTTTCGCTATCAGCAGCCACACGGCGTGCACAATCTATTCCACACCCTTTTAATTTCAACATTTTGCTCTGTGCTAGGAAAAGAGGCACACTCGCTAAGGCAGGATGAAGAACGTATCTGCAAAGCCTAAGCACATTTCACCAGCACCTCCTAGGGGCCATGTGAGGGTATGAAGCTCAGAGGTGAGCATAGGCGCAAGCCCTTTCCTTGTATTGTCGGTGTCACCTCTCTCCCACCCGGGCTGCGCCGCCCGGAGCTCGAGCTAGATTGTTGAAGTAGTGGGGCGACTCGAGGAGGCCTTTTAAAGGGGTAAATACACGGCACGAAAGACAGCTTGGATCGCTTGAGGGAATAAACATTAAACACACACAGGGATTTCAAACTCGGGGGAAGGAAAAGTCTCCTTTAAGAGCAAAGCTTGCTTTTGACACCAAAAGTCCTCAGAGATATATATGCACTTTTCAGTTTACACACACACACACACACACACACACACACACACACACACGGATTAATCGGTAAAGTTCCAGGGTCCAGACCCAGTTAACATTGAACTTTACATGGGTTTGTAAAGGGTCGACATGCTCTTGCCTGGTTGCTGGGAAAGGGCTGGGAGGCGCTGACGCGAGGGCAGAGCTTGAGTGTCTGTAGGAGTTACTGTTCCAGAGAATTCATTACTAATTGCTCCGATTTTAGATCAGCGGAGCGTGCCGGGCGGTGGTGGAGAGAGAGAGAGATCGAAGGAGGACAATGCGAGAAGGAACGAGTTGTTCACCCTGCAGAGAAGTCTAGGCGATCTGCAGGCAATTCACGAGCTGTCAGGAGAAGCGAGAGCCCAACGGCTATGCAGTTGCAACACTTGTGCACGTCTAAATCCAGCTGGGTTCTGCGCGCGGGTCCCGGTCCCTTTCCCCAGGTAATTCGCGGTTCCTCCGCGCACCGCATGTTCTGCGGCAGATTCGGGGGGCATATGGGGCTCTGGGTGGGAGGGAGGGGACAGGGGGACGCGTCCAGGCTGGAATGCAATCCTCCCCGGCTGCAAACGTTTCCTCCCGGCACTGGCAACCTCGCAGGCCCCTCGAGGAGCGTGCACAGCACAGTCGCCACCGAGGAGAGAAAAAGGGAAGCTTGGGGCTTGGAGAGGGTTAGGAAACTGCCTAAGGCCAGGCTGCAATTAGGCAGCCGCAAAGCCCGGAAGTGGAGCTTCCCACCTGCTGCTGTCCAAGCTGGGGCGCAAGTTTCTCCTACCCAGCCGGGGCTAGACTCCCAGGCTGGGCTCGGAGGCTGGAGGCGGAGGAAGCGGCGGCAGGTTCTCCTCGTTGGCAGAACCCTGGGCTGTAGCCTTCTCCCCTCCCCGCTGCGGTTCTCGCAGCCGGTCGCGCGGCCAGACGCGCTGCGATTGGCCCGCAGCGACCGGGGGCGGAGCCAGGCAGGCCGGTATGGGACCGCCTCAAAAGAGCCCAGGATAGTGCAGAGCGCACTGGAGCCTTGGCCAGCGCGCAGCCTTTCCCGTCGCCGGCAAGCTGGGTCTTGGGAATTCTGGTTTGCTTTGGCTCGCTCGCTTTTACAAACTACTGGATCTTACATGCCTCTGTGCCCCCCCACTTCCACTTCATGTCCCCATGCTCCTGCGCCAGCAACAGGTAAGGGCTGCTGTGTGTTTTCTTCCCTCCTTCTCTCTCGCTGCCTGTGTGTCCTGGGGAGCGTACTCGGCTGCCGCCCCTGACTCTACCCTGCCCCGCGGCCCCAGAGGTGCCCAGCTGTCATACCGCTGTAGCGCTCACCCACGCTCTCGAGTCGCAGATCATGCCTATAGAGTTTGTGTGCGCACCAGAACATCCCCGGAGCTAAAAATACTGAGACATGCTTGGAACAGTTGAGCAATAGAAACATTTCTCTGCAGCATCTGTTTGTGCTCATAACTTCCAATGCACCAGCTGTAGCGAGATACTGAGTTTGGAGACAAGGGCGAGGGAGCCTGCGTTCGATTCTCGCTCTCAGGGCAAAAAAAAAAAGGGGGGGGGCAGGAGGGGCGATAGTGCATCTAGAGCGTGGTCTCAAGCCTTGGCAAACCGTGGTACTCGGAAATAGTCTTGATCCTCAGACCTTTTTTTTTTTTTTTTTTTTGGTCATTGCTTCAAGTGCAGCGTCGAGTTCCAAACCGAGCGAGCGTCTCAAAGTTGCTTTGCTGGGGAAGAGAGCGGGAGCCAGAGTTGGGAATTGAGGCTGAAGACCGCAAAACTTTCACATCTTTATGTCACTCTCCCCTAAGCCAACTTGTAATTCTTAGCAATAATAGTATTAATACCTAAGTTGAAGACAGCGTGGTTTCTAGGGAGCACAGTGGTCAAAACGACTTTTTTTTTCTGCAAAGAGATTGCATCATAACATAGACTCGTCGTGACAATTGAAAAAAAAATAGAGATAGGAAATGGGCAGTTTAATGTTTGTGCCTGGCTAAGCATATCAGTGGGATGGTAACTAGGAAACGGCAGTGAATCCTGGGGATTTTCATAAACTCAGAATTTACCTGTTAGGAAATAAGGCATTGTTGAAACCGTGTTTTGCGTGTGCACAGAATGCATATTGCCTTTCCCCACTTTTTTCACGTTAATAATCTATAGGCGTCGGATTTCCTCACTAACCTCTGTTGTATGTTTGCTGTGTGTTACTTGTGCACGTGTTAGCTTTTTTTCCTGCTCGCTTCCACCCCCCCACCCCAAGTGTTTTATTTATTTCTGCCATTCTCCAGAAAAATCTTGTTAGGAAGAGATGTGACTTCAAGGATGGTGGGAGGGGTGAGAGTTGGGGGTCAAGGTCATTTCACTTTGCTTTCAGCCCCTCCCCCCTCATGTTTTGATGGTACTTGCTTTTATCTTATCCGTATCTATAGGAATATTTGTTCTAAACTCTTGTGAATTTGGCATTAAAAAAACACACACACACACAGTATTTCTACTTCCTTTAGACTCACCGGATGTAGACTTTCTGGTTCGCTGTAGAGTCCTTGTATGAACTTTTGAGTAGCATGAAAGATTGACCTGAACATCTTTACCTGAACAGATAAACGGTTTTAAGTTTTTTTCTTTCCTTTTTGTTTTTTTAGTGTACGTTTTTGTTTACACATGTGTATATATTTTCAGCGTTTGCACGTGCTGAGTGATGCTCCATCCACTGTTGAGTGTCAGTGTTATAATGACCCCTACTTCCCCTCCCCCTCCCTCTGTTTACTGAAAGTCTAAGAGGTTGCTTTGCTAGCATTTGTGCTCACATAGCAACATGTGCCCAGAGCACACTCAGGCTGGTCTATATGGCGTCAGCTGGGGAATAGCTGCTCTAAACACTCATTAGCAGACCTCTCTCTAGCCCAGCACACTTTCTTTTACTATCCTTATTTCCTGTCCTTAGTTAGAAACTTGCTTGTTCACTGCACCATGACCATCTTATGGGACACATTTATTCTTGTTTATTCTTTATAAGGTCTTCTGGTTTTTTTGTTTTGTTTGTTTTTTATAATTCATATTGGAAGTATTTCCTATATGGTAAAAATGATTTAGATTCACTCATTTATACCATGCTATCCCTGTGACCTTTTATTTCTCCCTAGCGCTCTCTTCCTTAACAACTACCTAAGATTGAAGCACTGAACTATTTTTTTCCATTGCTTATGCTTAATTTTGGCTCAGCCTATAAATAGTCTTAACATGAACGGCACCACATGTAGCTTCTCAATTTCCCAGAAATACTTTCTACCTCATTGGTTACGGCCTGGGTAAAATGATTATGTGTGTCTCTTACATTTACATCAGGCCCCTTAAATACATTGGCGGATAGGGGAATTTACACATTGTGCATCCAATCAACTATCAGTTTTCCTGAGTTATGCTCATCAAGGAGTCAAATCATTTCATGTTCTTATCTATTCTTAATCCAATGTTTCTAAAAAATATATATGTATATATTTCGAATCTCTCCCTAAAATAAAGTTGCATGAAAGCTCTATTCCTGCTGAATGTTTTTCCCAGGAGTGTGTAATTTGGTGAGTTTCACTGATAGAATATTTTCTGCTTGCCTAAAGCCACTCTGGTGTGTGGGCAGGTTGATGGGAAAGGCCTTCTTCATAGTGAATATGAAGACAACTAACTGATCAAACTTTGGCAAGGCTCTAGGTTTTTGCTAGGGCATCAGCTCCACCAAAGTCTGAATACACACAATGTGTGTGCACATATATACTGTTTTGGAGCATAGGAGTATCTATTCGAAGTGACAAAAGTTTCCATTTTGCCCAAAGAATCATTTTTTATTCCCCCCCCCCCATTTTTCAGGCAGACATGGTAAAATTTGCAAATGATGCTCCCTTTCTGGAGCACATTCTGTCACTAGCAATGGAAATAAGATAATAATAGTCGCTCAATACAGGCTATTTTCAAGGCTCTAACTGCGGAAAGCTATTCAGAGGAAGCTGGTATTGTGTGTTTTGTGGAACTCAAATATGCTTTAATCGGGCAAAAGCGTAGAAATAAATCAGAATTCATTTGAGACTGTCTGTCATGGTAACAACGATGAAGGGTTGTTTTCATGATGAAAGGGAATTTCTTGGTGTCAGCTTACAGTATAAGATTCTGAAGTCAATCAGAACTCAAGGATACAAGTACTGTTTAAATGGTGCCTCCCTCCTACCCCACCCCCCTTCTTTGGGGAAGGTACACCTGCATTTGGTATTATATTATTATCTCTATCTGTCTCTGTGTAGAAATGCTTGGCAATTTCATATGAGACAAATGAGCTGAAATCACTGTTTAAAAAAAAAAAAATTTCCACGTCCAGGATCTAGAACCCTGAGGAATTAGGAGCCCTTGTTTCTTGTGTCCAAGTACGAACTTCACAGGGAAGCAGACAAAACATTGAAGCAGGTGGAAGACTGAGAAGGCACAGTAACTTCTTTTTATAAAGTAATTCAAAGACACTTTCAAATCGGGCATCATTTAGGTGTCAAAAGCTGCCAAAATGTAACACACATTGCAATTTTCACAGATGACTAATCTCAGGAAAAATGTGTTGGGGCACATTCTTGCATAATAACTTGGATGAAGAGAGAGAAGTGAAAAGACTGGATAACAAGGCATTTTCAAAGACAATGCACCTTGCCTCTCTTTCAGAGCTGTGCAAAAAGGAGATAAAAAATTCACTTTATTTGTTTGCAGTTGGCTTGGCTGCCATAGGTTTTGTTAACTGCTTCATCTTAATGTGGTTTGGGGGAAGAAAGAAAATGTGGAGTCCTCATTGTCATTAGCAGGGCTTCACCAAATTTCTGATCCTTTTCATGTCTTGTTCATCATCCACCTTTAATACAGGAGATAGGTTTGGTTGTTTGAAATGTTGAGAATCACTTATTTTTTTTTTACTTCTATGAGCACTACTTTATATTTGATAAAACACCCTTGACGTTTCCTTAGGCTTTTGTTCATTAATCAAGGGAAAATAAATAGTGTCTTTGGAGCAAAGATGGAAAGTTATAGTAAATAGGTGGCTTTTACTTAGTAGGAGAGAATTAGGCAAAAGGAGAAAACTGAGAATAACTGTTTGTTCGTGTTAAGTAAAGGTGAGTGCCTTCTCCATAGGAACATACAGCAAACAACAGCGCTTGAAGTGAAAGTAAGCTGACTGACATTTATGATCTATTCCTACAGAGTTGCCTCTGTTTGGGAAAACACAGGATTGAACTCACATAAAATGAGTTCCTGCCTTATCTCAATCCACTAAAGACCTGGTCCTTCGACACAAAGGTGCTTACTTCCGAGCCTGTCATTACACCTGGCAATCCCATCTCCGGAGAATTTCAGGACTCTTATTGCTAGGCAACAGAATCACTCCCTATCCCCCAGAGCTAACCTGTGTCTTCAAGTCGGAGTCAGCGGCACCAACAGAGATATCATCAGGCATTTCTGCACAGTGGCTGCTAGAAGTTCATGAAGTGAGGCAGCGAGCAGCCTCCCAAACAGTCTCCAGAAATTGAGATCCGTTTCAGATGGTGTTTAGGGCTGTCTGCTCAGTGTTATTTAAACAAAAGAGCCCGTGCCTTCTGATGTCCACCTAGTCATCAAGGGCTCTAATGTTCTCCCATAATGCACCTGCAACTCAATGAAACCTTAACAGTGTTCGTTCATGTGAAATGTTCTCTAGACGTGTCCGAGTCCCTAAAGCTTCATGACAAACCTTGGAGTTAGAAACTCTTTCTTCTGCTTCATAACTTGGCATCCTAGCAAGTAGGGAAAGCAAACAAAAGAAGAGCATAAGCGGGGAAAGATAGACCTGTAAATTAGAATATTTTAGGTTGCTTGCCAAAAATAGAAGAAAAGGGGCCTGAAATTTCGGTTGAAAGACGGTCACAAACAACTAACTCTCCTGTGTTTAATCATTTTATGCTTTGAAAGAAAGTAAATCTTTTTAGGCTACAAAGGATGAAAAACCCTACCATTCAATGTGGAGTATATTTATCTATACCTGACTCTGTCTGGCTGGTGGCTGGAAAATGTTGCCTTAGGGAGTAGACCCCTTAAGAATGACTTCTTTTGTAATGAATGAATTCTTTTTTTTTCCCCTGACAGGACCTGTTCTCTGGACATCAGCTGAGTTACTAAGGTAACTCTGCATGTCAGTAAACAGACGCTGGTAGAACCTCAAGGCTCCTGGAGACCCTCGCCTCTCCTTATTTCTTTTTTTTTTTTTTGCGTGTGTGTCCTCACTGAACATTCAAAACTGTTTCTCCAAAGGGTTTTGCAAAAACTCAGACTGTTTTCCAAAGCAGAAGCACTGGCGTCCACGGCCGAAGCAATGGGCAGTGTGCGAACCAACCGCTATAGCATTGTCTCTTCGGAAGAAGACGGCATGAAACTGGCCACCATGGCGGTTGCCAACGGCTTTGGGAACGGGAAGAGTAAAGTCCACACCCGACAGCAGTGCAGGAGCCGCTTTGTGAAGAAAGACGGCCACTGCAATGTCCAGTTCATCAACGTGGGTGAGAAGGGACAGCGGTACCTCGCAGACATCTTCACCACGTGCGTGGACATTCGCTGGCGGTGGATGCTGGTTATCTTCTGCCTGGCTTTCGTTCTGTCGTGGCTGTTTTTTGGCTGTGTGTTTTGGTTGATCGCTCTGCTCCATGGGGACCTGGACGCAGCGAAAGAGAGCAAAGCCTGTGTGTCCGAGGTCCAGAGTTTCACGGCCGCCTTCCTTTTCTCCATCGAGACCCAGACCACCATCGGCTATGGGTTCCGCTGTGTCACGGATGAGTGCCCCATCGCCGTGTTCATGGTGGTCTTCCAGTCCATCGTGGGCTGCATCATCGATGCCTTTATCATCGGCGCCGTCATGGCGAAGATGGCCAAGCCCAAGAAAAGAAACGAGACTCTTGTCTTCAGCCACAACGCTGTCATCGCCATGCGAGATGGCAAGCTGTGTTTGATGTGGCGTGTGGGCAACCTTCGGAAAAGCCACCTGGTGGAAGCGCATGTCCGCGCGCAGCTCCTCAAATCCAGAATCACTTCAGAAGGGGAGTACATCCCCCTGGATCAAATAGACATCAATGTTGGGTTTGACAGTGGAATTGACCGTATATTCCTGGTGTCCCCAATCACCATCGTCCATGAAATAGATGAAGATAGCCCTTTATACGATTTGAGTAAACAGGACATTGACAATGCAGACTTTGAAATTGTGGTGATACTGGAAGGCATGGTGGAAGCCACTGCCATGACAACACAGTGCCGGAGCTCGTACCTGGCAAATGAAATCCTTTGGGGTCACCGCTACGAGCCTGTCCTCTTTGAAGAGAAGCATTATTACAAAGTGGACTACTCAAGGTTCCACAAGACTTATGAAGTCCCCAACACCCCGCTTTGTAGTGCCAGAGACTTAGCAGAAAAGAAATATATCCTCTCAAACGCTAATTCATTTTGCTATGAAAATGAAGTTGCCCTCACAAGCAAGGAGGAAGATGACAGTGAAAACGGGGTTCCAGAAAGCACTAGTACGGACACCCCCCCTGACATTGATCTTCACAACCAGGCAAGTGTACCTCTAGAGCCCAGGCCCTTACGGCGAGAATCGGAGATATGACTGACTGGTTCCTTCTCTGGGATATTTGCTTTCAAACACAGGCTGTTGGTCAAAGGCCCAAAACAGTTATTCAGACGACGGTACTGGTGAAGAGCTGGGTCAAGGCAGGTGGCCACAAGGGACCGAGGCCAGCACAATGGTTTCAGAGAAAGACTCTAAGCTCGGAGATGAATGCAAAGCACTAAACATGCCTCCCCGTGACCCGATGGCACATATATGTTGTAGAATAAGTTATGGGTTTTTTGTTGTTTTTTTTAATGTTTTGTTTTGTGTTTTTACAAAACTTGAACTTGCAGGCAAGCCTTGGTTGGGTATTTGACTTATCCAGAATGCTTCTCTTTAGGGAACAAGGATGTTTTTAATGGCATAACAAAGGCAAGACTCTGCCTTAATTTTGAAAAGCTGCTAACTACATGAACACAAATTGTATTTTTGTTGCAGTGTAGTTTTTCTTTCGTGTAATTTAAAAGTCAGTGTTGAACTTTGTTGAAAGCTCATGAGATGCACTTCAAAGTGGCAAGTATTTGGCTATTAGCTGCCAACATGAGAGCCTGATTTTTTGAGGCCAGTAATTTGTTTGCTAGAATTGATTTTTCTCTCTCTCTTTCTCGCTCTCTCTCTTTGGTTACATAAGGGTATTATGTAACACTAGCCAAATGGTAGCCTCCGGGTTGGTTTTTTGTTTTTGTTTTTGTTTTTTTCTTGATGTTAATGGGTTATCTCAAATTTTAAGTTAGACTACCTAAAATAAATACCAAAGATAATGCACATTTTTGCACAGTGGAGCTTATACTAAAAAGGAAAGGAAGCTCCCCGGCTGCCTTGAAATCAAGAAACAATAACTTTGAACCTCAGCAAGACCTTGAACTGCCCTCTCCGTTTGCACCTTATTCAGAAAATAGGACATCATACATACAGAGTCCAGTTGAGTGTAGTGCTTTTTACGTTTTGTTCTTTCACATAACTTTTGTATTATAAGAGGAAGAAGAAAGGGAAGGGAAAATTCACAGACATGCACACACACAAAATACAAAAATATTTTCTTTCCTGCGAGGTAGTGCTGGCCAGGCTAACGCATAAGGTGAGAGATGGTGACATACTCTTAGAATTTTCTGGGTTTTCCCTTTTTTGCACATTCCAGAATTTATTCCATAAGGTAAGGCCTTGGTTGCATTTGGTCAGCACCCTCAAAACTGAGCCATCCGACATGGAAGATAACTGGGTTTAAACCCTTGCCGTTGAATTTGTTGCCCTGACTCCCAGGACATTTTCCAATTGCCTTTGCCTTAGAAAAGGTGCCACGCCAGGCCTCTGGACTGGTTATTATGATCAGTCAGTCAGTCTGTCTGGAGTGAGCCCTGCTGTGTCTGAGAGGGCTACAAATGCCAATGTAGGGAGACAGTGAGATAGGGACAAGCCTCTGTGACATCAGCTCAAGTATTTGGCGGGGAGAGGAAAGTTGCTGGTTTTATTAAAATATTAGAGGGTAGGAATGACAATGTCTCAGTATTTTAGGGTCAACAAAAGTCATACAAAATACAACACAATCACAAGGGAAGGAGGTAAGGGTGGAAAAGGGTTATTTTCCCTTTCTGTATGCACACTCATGATTGCATCTGAGTTGATCCTTTTCACCCATGGACCCCTAGAGTGGGTGACTAAAGGACATGTTGTTTTCCATCAGCCTCTCCTGCCAGGCTGCCTGACTTGCTAAAAATGATCCCCCCCCTCCTCCCCGGACTCTAGCTCAATAATGAAGCTCTGTTTTTGGTCTATTGTTCCCTGTCTGTGAATTCTGGGGTTACTGACTTTTTAATTGGAGTCTCAAAATCAACTCTCTTATGGTATTATAATCCCAGTATGCCATTAAAAAACAGCTTGTTCTAGAATCCTGTATTTCGTGACTCGATGTTTGTGGTGGTCTCTTGAACAGCCATATTGGAACGCAGTGCCTGCACCATTTCTGCTGTTGTCAGCCTTCGGAGTCAATGGCTTTGCAAACTGTGGTGTTAGTTTCATGGAACCCGAGAGACAGATGTGAAGCAAGGCAGGTTTGGGACGTTGTTTAGAGAGCTGGTGGAATTGGGATTGAGCGGACGAGAGAATCGACAAAAAGACGCAACGGTTTGGCCGTTGACAACTGAGAGGATACCCAGGGCTTCAGCTGCTGCTATTTTGATATTTTGCAAAGGAAAATAATCACACCAAAGAGTATTCAGTGATATGTAAATTAAATGAAGATACAGAGGACAATTGGGGTGACCCCAGAGAAGCCTTCCTCCCCCCCCCACCCCAAACACACAGTGCTGCCACTTAAAAAAGAGGAGACCATGGAAAAGGGGTGGGTACGGGGGCAGGAATGAGGGAGGGGAAATCTTTCAACTTCTTTCTGAAAAAGAGGAAAAAAAAATCTAAAATTTCTGGTGCACAGGTTTGTTTGTTTGTTTGTTTTTCCAAGAAAATTTTGCAGAAGCTATGTTTTTAAAGTGTACATTTTATAAAGTTTATCAGATATTTTCATATTTAAAGCCAAATGTAAATAGAAGTCTGTAAAGGAAACAAAATTGCCATAGAAAAGTATAATATCAGTGCAGCAATTCCTGAGAGCTAGTACCTATATGCTACCGGTTAGCATGGTTTTAGCACATATTTACCAGCCTTATAATGTTTGTATGGCTATGTTCTTCTGTTATTTATTTCAGCATGGACTGTTTATTTGAAAGCTTTTCCTAGTTATTAGTATTTTACCAGTTACAAGCTTTAAATGGCTTTTTTTTTTTTTGTCAAGAGCCAAGACACAGGTAATGCACAACATGTTTTGCTGTGTTTTACCTTCAAAACATATGTCCTTATTGACTGGGTCTCCTGAATTTGTGCACACAAGTCATGAGAATGCAGATTGAAGAGACTCACCCACCGTGAATGTCTATTCCTATTCCTGGTCCCATGTTGCTTCTCTATTGCAAGCAAACTGCCCCTATTGAATTTACTTAGGACTTGGTCCCTTTGTAATAATTTTTTGCCCGTGTCCGGATGAGCATTATATTTTTGGGAGGAGGCATAGAATCCTGGTTATCTTATTTTTAAACAAAAGGTAGACAAAAGTGAATTATATTTTGATTATTGAGAAAGGAATAGTTTTCTATCACTTTAAGCATATACTTGAATCAGACATTTTTAAGAATGTCGCTATAGCACTGTAGTCATTTCCAAATTCCTGGAGAAAGTTTGTTTCACCTTTTTAAAAAAAATTTATCCATGCATTACTTCTTCCCTTCACTTCCTTTCTTCCCTACAGACTCCCATCCCAAACCTTGATGTTTATTTGATGAGCTGTAGCTCCCAAATTATGTCGCCCTTGCAAATAACACATGTCAGTTCATATTTTATAATGTCACTCACTCAGTAAAGGCAAAAAGCTTGTTCTGAGAAGTAGAGTGAATGGTTTTTCACTCTGTGTCTAATAATATTACGGTGGGAAAAAAAAAGTGTTGCGTCATCACCTCCCCCACTCCCAACCAGAATCTCTTTTCTAGTGACGTTGGGTTTCAGCTCTGGGCTCTGGCGAATTGAACAATCCCGGCCTTGGACAATCGTGCGAGTTATGATTTTCCCGTTTGCCGTCCTTTTGTATCTAAAGTCTTCCTATTGTACTGCACAAACTATGGATTGTACATATTTTTATATATTATGTCTTATTTTATTATTTCTAAATAAAAAATTAAATGTTGACAATACATCGGTGCAAGATCTCTGGGCCCTGTGTCTGCATGTGTAGCGTCGCTGAGATAGAAAGCAAATGTCCCCAAACAATAGGACAGCAACCCTGATGGTCTGAATGAATAGAGCCATAGAAACTGCTTCAATAGGCAGGTGCTACGGGGTGGCAGATTAGTCTAATCCGAGTTAGAGGAGGTCAAGCTCCTATTTTCTCTCTGGACAGAACAGCCTAGGGAGCGAGGAGATAGGGAAGATGGAAAAACAAGCAAACAAAACTAACAAAAAATATTATAAGGTTTAGATTTTGACTTTTTTGTTTAATGAGAACAGTCTCTCTTCATGGAGCCTAGACTCTGCAGCACTCTGCCATTTATATATAGTTCTCAGAAACAAATTCGGCTTTTATTGTCATGTTATAGATCAGGAGTTGGTAAACGTGTTCTGACTAGGGCCTGATAGTAAGAATTTGGGGTTTGCATGTCTCAACTCCTCTGTAGTGGTAGAGTGAAAGCAGTCATAGATAACAGGGAAACAAATGGCGTGGCTCTGTGTTTCAATAAAACTTTATTTAAAACTGCAGGCTGTGGGATAGATTTGGCCTGTGGCCTGTCATTTATCAGCCTCTGTTATAGATGAGGAAACTGAGGCTAGATTTTAAAGCTGATGAATCACTGAGGTGATACCAGAATTCAGGTTTTATCTGCCTCCAAACCTAGTTTAATCCGCTAAGCTATATACTGTTTCAGGGCACCAAATTACCCCTTGGTAACTTGGCTACACCGTCTCAGTGAAAAAGGCTACTTCTCTAGCAAGTTTGGCATAACTGTTTTTTCACAATTGGAAATACTGAGAAAATCTGCATTCTGAGGTATGGGTGACTTCTTAATATTTTTTCTTTAACAAACATTCATATAGTACTTACTATGTTCCAAACATGGTCCTAGGTTTTTAATAAATTTTAAAGAATTTAATCTTAGCAACAACCCTATGGAGGAGACACTGTTATTATCCCCATTTCACAAATAAAACACAAAAAACCTGAGGCTCAGAGAGGTTGACTCTCTTGTATAAGCACACACAGTTAGTAGGCATTGGAGCTGAGATTTAAAGTGATGCCATTCTGCATTGGGCTGTGTTTTTTGTTCATTTGCTTTTTAGAATTGCTCTATGCATCCCGTTTGGAGGCATTCTTGGTAAAAGTTTTACTATTTAATCTGCCTTTCTGCTTCCCAGTTTTCATTCTCATAGGTGGTGAACATGCTTTTTTCCCCCCACACGGGAAATATCAGCACAGAATTCATGCCTCCTTCATAACCTGCTCCACAATTCCTCCTTTGGTTCTTGGAGAGAGGGAACAACTCACAAAGGGTAGACTCATTACAAATTTAAGCATCGGTTGTGGGATTTGCTAAATTTCAAACTTCAGATTAATTTCAATTACCTAAGAAGTACTTAGGCCTGCCCAGAGGCAAAACCACAAGGCTCGGTTGCTCACCAAACTGCAGCAGGCACCCAACCACATCATAGGCCTCTGCCTTCCTCCCCCCATGGGCAGTCAGAGGTGCAATGTGGTCCCCTTGGTGGTCAGTCCGATTATGCAAGATAGAGGACGGTAACTCCAGGCAGCAAGTGAACGCCATGCGGGCCTCATTCCTACTGTTTACATTTTTTTATCACGTGGCGAAAAGGCAGGGTGGCATTTCAGAGTCCTGCTTAGGCATTCTTTTCAGTGACATCTAAACGAGCCCTCCAGCCCCCGCCTTCTTAGGCAGCAGCTCCCCAGATAATACTTGTAAGTTTTCCACTAGCATTTTCCATTGCAGAGCAACACACTGATTGCATCAATCCGATTTGCATCCCCAAATGAAAGAACGCAAGGAAGAAAAGGCGAGCTAGCTTTGTGAACTTCAAGTGAAGAGCCATCATTAGCCTATGTTAACACCCCAGAGACTTCTTTCTGTTTTCCAAAGAGTTCAGATCAAGGATTCTAGTGACATGATGACTTAAGCCATAGATAAGGGTTGTTATAATGACTTAAAAAGAATCACATAATTACCAGGTAACACCTGGAAGGGGCAGGTGCAACTAGACTATCATGATACCTGGTGGGAATGGGGTGACCAACAGTCCGGGTCTGCCTGGGACAGACAGGCTTTCCCTGGAAGTAGGATTTGCAGGGCTAACTCTGGGAAAGTTCTGGGCAAACTGGGAGACGTCAGTTACCTCCTTCCTTCGAAAGCTAGAGGATTAGAATGGTGTGGGAAAGGGAGGAGAGAGACAGTTAAGAGTGTGGAAAGGAAGGAATTGAAAGACAGGTGAGCCAGGCTCTGCATAGGAGGGTTACTAATTAGTAAGAATAATAACGATGAATAATGACATATAAGTGGCTCTCTCCAAACAGCTGAAATTTGTTGCCTCAACGCAGTCATTGTTTTGGAGGGATGGTTTTCTCAAATATTATACAATTCTCTGCCTTATTAAAAAAAATGGTTTCCTGGTGTGACACAAGCCAATAGGTGCAGCTCTTCCTGGTAGGATGTGCTATTAAAGGTTTGTCCACTAAACCATCAATTACTGTTTTGTCCAGTGCCAGAAGTCCCCAAGCCCCATGTGAGTTTCTGCATCCGGTCTGCTGAACTGAGGAAATCGGAAACTCGGTTGTAAAGTCTATAGAACCAGGTGTCAGGAAGTCAGGCCAGCCAGACACGTGCAGGTAAGACACAAAATGACAGGGCTTGAAGGGAGGGTTTGATTTTGATGGTGACTGTACTCATTTCCAGAGATTTCTAAATTTCAGGTTTGAGATTCTACTCCGAGAGATTGGAGCTGGTAAGGGGCTTGACATCTAGAAAATTCTATGCAATTTGACCAAAAATTTATTGAGGGATTATTTTATGGTGCTGGTTGCTCAAAGTTTTCTATGTAGACTTGATTGACAACAGATCACAGTTTGGAAAATGGGCAGTATGGTTGTATATTCATGGTGTCTTACAATTGAAAAAAACTGAGTTTTAGATATAAAAATGTATGTATAACAATAACTGCCAATTATTGAGTCCTTTTGTTATATTAGACACTGGGCAAAGATACAGTGCTGATCCTCTGACATATACAGTAATCTTCACTGAACTATCTTTTCAGGGATGTCACCATGGACTCACATAATTTCGTAATGCCGTACTGGGAATGATTTAAGTTGATTTTGTAAAAATTCTGCTCCCGTGGATGCTGCTTTTTCATTTCTTCATGCTAACTGACTGCTCTGCCCTGCGAAATCGTCTCTGCCTCAGCAGCTCCCGATCCTGACACAGGGGCTGGAAGATATCCTTTGGGTTCACTCCTGTATCACAAACAAGCGAATCAAGTTTCACACTGTGCAGCTTTATTTCGCTTTCATTTTTTCAAATTTTGGCTAATCTACTCCTACATCGAACATCCCAGGGAAGCAACTCTTTATTTGATCTTGCAAACAGAGAGAGTGTTTTACTAAACAGTGCAGAAGAGTGTCCTTAAAAAAAAAAAAAGTTGCACTAGGCTCCCAGAGGCAGGCCCATAAAGACAGATTATTTACCAACACAGAAAGTTCAAAGGCAAGTGTGTACACATCCCGTACAGAACACTCTTGGCAGAAAGCACTCTCAGATGGCAGCCACTCGTACAAAAGGAGGGAAAGTTGAATCAACATGCCAGAGGTTTTCTCTGGTCCTGTGAGGAGTTCTTTGGGTGCCCATCAGATCCAGGAAGCCCTCCCTCTCTGCCGTATCCAGGACCAGCGGAAAGTGGCAGCCCACATCACTTGGGCATGCTCGTTCAATGAGGCAGCTGAAGACGATGCCCCAGAGTTGCCATAGAAACTGAAAAGAAGCACCTCTCCTGCACACTCTTTAATTTCATCTGAGTGACTTTATTCAAGAACCAAAAATAAAAAGTGCACAAGGATGTAATTATATAAAAAGCTGCGTTCGATTATAAATACAGTGTGTACTCTTGCTCAGTCCACAGCTCGCTGCTCCTCTATTTCGAAACATTGCAACTATTCAAACAGGAGCCTTCATTTAAGGCGTAATTGAAGAGAGGCCCAGATTTGCCAAGATAAAGGAGGGAGGCTTTCTCCTGAACTTCGACATTTCTCCAGCTCCTTCTCGACAGCAGAACGTGGGGTCTGTTCAAACAAGGTCCATTTTCCAGCGTACATTCAGATGCCATCTGGGCTCGCCGGGTCCTACTTGAAATCGCTCTGCCTGCAGGCACTCCCTAGTCTAAAACATTGTATAGGCTTATGATCATTTTTGTAGGATAATAAAAAGAAGTGGACAGGAGAATGCCAAAAAAGCAATTAGTGGGGAAGGCGAACAAAATTCTTTTTTTTTTTTTTTTTAAATCCTGTTGCTACTTGCAATCAACAGCTCCTTTCACCTGGAGAGGTGGAAGAGGGAGACACCAGCCCCTTGACAAGGCTCCCACTGCAGTATTCGACGGTGAGGAAGGGTTCAGCATGGGAGTCTGCCCGTCTTCTTGACACCTTTTGATGGGCGGATGGGTTACCTGTGCTGGAAGAAGTGAGCTCTTCCTAGTATCCTCTGGTGAGACAAGGCAACCCTGAGCCTGCACACTGGCTGGCACCATTCGAAAAGCACTGAGGGTGTTATTTCCTGTTAGTGATTTGCATGAAGCTGTGTGCCATATAGAATTCACTTATAAAGGGAAATGCAAAGGTACAAGGCGTGTCCGGTGAGCAAGAATACGTACGATCCTGTTTGTTGTCTGTGAATACGCCTGTCTGTTCTCTGGATGTGGAGAACCAGGTACATCCTCAGCATTTTACATTGTGCAAGGGCCCTACGCTGAGTCTTTCTGCAAGACAAACAAGTCCTTTATCTGAATAAAATAGGAAAGGTTTTTCCCCTTCTGGAGAGCTGACAGTCTGCAGGTAAAAAGAACCGTGGCTGGTTCAGCCAGTGCCATTTGTAAAACTAGACGGGCTGTGTCATGTAAATGCCTCCTGAAAACAAGCGAC